GCTGACATCCCATCTTTCCTTAGTTCTCCCTTCTCTAGACTAAACAATGCCAATTCCTTCCACCCTCCCTCATACTGCCTTCTAGACTGTTGCTCATTCTTTTTACTTCTCTCTGGACTGTCTCCAGGGTGTCTACATTTTTCTTCAAGTATTGTGCCCAAAACAGTACTCCTTGCTACTGGAGTGTCAAGGAGAGTGGAAGAAGCACTTTAAACACCCTACATAAAATGTTAGTACTCCAGAACTGCTTGATTTAGCTTAAATTCTGTGATAATTAATAAGTGCTGGGAGCTTTCTGAACCATGCAACTGAAGATGTATGTTCAGAGTGTCTTTCCTTGTGAAAGCTGGGTTCAGGGTTTTGTGATTGGGTGCCTAAGGCCAGAAATTTGTAAATATGTCTCTTCCTTTATTACAAGGCATGCCAGCAAATCAGGAATAAGCTCTGATTTATTGTGCAAAATGGTCCCTATTTTCAGGCCCTCAAGCAGGCTCATAAGGTTTTCAGATATGGACAGCAATTATCCTATTTTGTGTTTTAATTACCCAGCTTTCTGGACACAGGTAGTGAGTTGAATTTCTAAGAGCCTTGCCCAAAAGGAGCACACTGGGCCCCCCAGCCTTCTAAGCTGTGCACTGTTACACAGCATAAAGCCTTGTTACTTTGGTACCTTTAGTCTGGAAACACTGTTTCATGAAACACAGTTTTAATTAATTTAATTAACACAGTTAATTAGCTCTAAAACTTTCCAGGTCGCGATGTGTTACTTACTGTTTATATTTGGTTATGAAAATAGACTTAGTTAATGCTCTAGACTAGTGTAGTCTAAATATCCATTCTACTAATTGGTAACACTTCCCCTACTCTTACTTTTCTGTGTTGCCTTAAATTGTGCTGGGTTTTTTTTGAAGATTTGGAACAGGTCTTAATGAGATTTTTCTACCAGAATTTGAAGGATTTTCTATTTCAAATACTTGCCAGAGGCCAGTGGTCTATTACACTGGGCAAACATGAAACAAATTCAGCAAGTTGGGCTGGTGTTTTTAAACACCTGTGTTGATCCACAGAAGTCAGCGAGTCTTAGGTAAAACACAACTTTCCCAGACATCTAGTCTCACAGTCTCTTAGTACAGCTCTATATTACAGCTGTATAACTTTGCATGGGAAAATAAAAGTGTGGGTTGCACATCAAATATTATCCTTTGCTATGGAGAAGAAGAGGTAAAATAAATATATTTTAAATTACTGTTCCACTTTCATGCCATCACTACAAAACTTAAAAGAGGGAATGAAAACAGAAATTCACAGCTGTAAAGTTCAGTAATCAGTGCTCCCTTGAAGACAAATAATGACGTCAGTGAACTAGCTTCAAGGTTGAGTAAATAAGATTAGAATAATAACCTGGGAAATTACAGAAATCTTCAGTGGATTGTTTTGAAAACAGACCAAACAATCATTAATTTTGGGGAAATTGCTACCGCAGACTATTGTAACTTTTCCAGAAAATGCACAAAATCCTTCTCGCCACTTGCCACTGCTGGCTTAAAAAGCAGATAAAGCAGAAGGCATTTTGAGGGTTTAATATATAAAGAAATCAAAATACAGGCTAGGCCAAAGAAGAGAAGCCTTTTGTGTTGTTTTTTGCGGAGGAACAAGCATAATGGCAGCCAAAAAAAAACCAAAAACCAACCTACCTCAAAACTACACTTTGACTACTGTAACTTATCAGTTATGCAAAGCTTTTATGTGTTTTGAAGAACTGTTTAAAAAAGAAACCTGAGGATATGCAAAAGATGCATTAGTACAAATACAGTGATATTTATATGAAGTTGGTATTGATTCAGCTAAGCACTGCTAGTAGGTATGCTTTTATTTTTCCTTCTTCAAAACCAGTTGAAATTTGACTTAAAAATACTGACCAGAACATAGGAGCATAATGTTCTTGCATGCCTGAAGCCAGCAATGTTGTGAAATCAAAGTGGGTAAAATCCACATTAACATGGAGGAAATTGACAAAGTCTCTTGGTCTTTATTGTCAGACAGAAATTTGTCCAACAGATATCACTTCAGGATTCTGGCATTGGCAAAATTTGCATGCCAGACACAGGAAACCAAGAATAACGAGACAAACCACAGAAGCCTTCAAAACTGTATCATTTTTATAGTTTAGTGAGAAGATGGATGTTCTCACTGTGACTGACCTCTAAGAAGTAGACTTTTAAGCCAATACAAATATTAGCTTATTTAAGCCTCTGAACATACATATAATATTGGACACAGGACAATCCAGTTTACTTTTGATCAGATTTTAGACCATTAACTGAACTCTACTTTGCTTAGTAATTTACCTTATTAAAAAACCAAACAACAACAAAACCCCCTAAAACAAAAACCCACCAAAAATGTTTTTGTTTTTAGCAACTATCATCTCAGAAGTCAGTGTTCTCCGTATTTAAACTATTAATTATTTATAAATCAATACTTATGTTATTTAGTTCTACTTAAAACTTTAAAAAAATGTCCATTGTAATTCAGGTGAAAATTGAAGGTCATTGTGTTTGCTAATGCAAATGGTTTCAATACACTAAAGTTAGCATTATCTAATTTAAAATGGTCTTCATTAGATAAAAAAATGGTGAGATGAAATATGTAAAATTGTATTTAATTTGACAGAATTAGCTAATTGTTAAAAAAAGGATGCTAATAGCAGCTAATTGACCTCAAAAACATGCATTCATAAAAATGACTAACTACTATATTGTTTTGTGAGAAGGAATAAAAAGATTTAAGCAGAAATATTCAGTTGAATTTGGTCAAGTCACCTATAGTTTCAAAACCATGACTGGATTTGGATGATCACACTCTCACAATAATTGTCTGTGATACTTAATATTTATAGGTCATATGAGAATTCTGATGAAGGAATGGCCAGCCAGCACTTTCAAAAGTGAAGTCTGATTAGACCACCATTAGTAAATTTAGTTTTCCTGGGCCAGATTTACTCTTTTAATATGGTAGAGCAATGCCATCCCTTTTGTAAGAATACTCTGAAATCCTGTTTATAAAATTAGAAATATTAGTTATAAACATTAAAAAGGTATATTTAGTAATTTATATGAGATTATAAAGCAAGCAATATACAAGTTATGCCTCTGCTTGCCATTTACTTTCAATTCCTCCTACTCTCTTCTTGTTTCATAACTACCATACTTTTAAATGCCTGCTTTTTTAAGATCACCAAACTCTCCTTCCTCTATGTTTTTCTTCCCCTTGTGTTATATTTTATCCTCCCCAGGCCATCATAACCTGTAATAATTTCTCCTATTCTGATATTTAATAATTTTTACTATGGAATATTACCCTACCCTATTAAACTCAGGGATAATGTCTTACACCAATTCATTTGCATTCATATTATTGTACCTTCCCACAGAGCAAACACCAACACAATAACTCCATATTAAAAGTATAAAATGCTATTTATGCTTACACATGTATTTATTTACATGCAATGTATCAGATGCCTCTATTTCTGAGAAGAATCCTCTGTAGTGTGAAGTCAGTACCCAAGACCTCCAAAACACAAATCGGGAACTAAACTGAAATATTTTTAAGAAATCTGCTTTAAGAACAATGTAGCTTGTACATAAGATCCCTTAAAATCACCTGTCCTTCATAGTACAAAACCAAGTAGTGTGTCTCTTACGATGATCCACTAAAGCAGGAACAACCGGCCCTTTGATTGAAAAGGCAGGAAAAAGACAAGAATGCACAGTACAAAATAATCTTGCAACTCCCATGCCGATAGGTAAGCAATGGATGAAAATAAAGTGTTTTTATGTTTTCCTCTCAAAGACTCAATCTGTCATTTTTATTATATTTGTAGGAACACATAAAAATTCATCCTAGGCAATTGTTCTATGACTGGAAACACATTTATCCCTGGCCTGCATTTGTAACATCATTCCTGAAATAATTCTCAAATTCCTTGTATGCACACCTTCAACACACAAGTAGAAAAAAAGAGGGCTGATCCCACAAATATATGTATGACATTCTTTTAAGCAGCTTCTTTGTAATTTAATTCAGCTGGTCACTTTAGTTTCATCTAGTTTAATAGATGGAAATTCTCTTAGAGAGAAAAAAGAAGTACATTGCAACCTAAAAGCCTCTGCCTCTCACAGGTAATTTCAAACTTGAAACTCTTGCAAAAAGCTCAAAGGCTGAGTGAAAGTATTAATCTCAGGAATGGAAAATATATATTAAGATCTTTTTTGTACCTTCATTTGCCGCAGGAATACTATCCATTCCTAAAAATAGAAAAGTTTCAAACATACCTTTACACTGACTCAAATACTGATTGGCAAGGTAGAAATCTGAAATCCCATCATACTATTTCATGGTAATTGACTCAAACACAGCAAGGACTCTAGTCTCCTGCATTCTTTTAGTTGAACACTGAAGCTTGGCCTGTTGTGATGACAATGCTATTTTGTAACCCTACCTCTGAGGATTGGCATTTTGGGCGTCTGTTGTTGGAGAAAAATACAAATATGAAACAGACAGGTTAGACAGAAGAGTATTTTTTTTTTTTTATAACATTCTATTCATGTGAGAATTTGGGGACCAGATATTTGTGATACTCCTTTCTGCAGACCCCAAGTTGTTACCACCACCAACACAACTGAATCAAACAGAAAGCTAACTGTTGAGAGAGCAACTCTTACCTTATAGGGAAAAGAAATAGTTAGCAGAGAGTTGGAAGTATGTTGCAGACTGTTGTGCACACTTAACAGCAGTTTTAAACTTGTACTGAAGCCAGATTAGCCTCAAAAGGAAAAAAGAAAGAGGCAAAAAATTATTAATTATTACAAATTAAGACAAAAACTTGTACTGCTGCTCTTGCACTTGTACTTGCAGAAACTTGGATTGTATGTGAGACCTACATAAAATGCCCAGGGGGCAACTCAAAGTGTTTGGAGAAAAATGGGGACTTTGAATAAGAGAACAGAGGAGTCTGAAATATTTTATTCCAGTTGGTGTAGAACTGTACCTTTGAATTCACACCTTCATAAAAGAGATGACAAATCACTAGTCAGACTAAAGTACATTGCTGGTTTTCAAAGCCTCTTTTTGATGTAATATCCAAAAGGTAAATTTTGACAATGATTAAAAATCCATCTGATTATGAACAGCATGAAGTTCATTGGAATATAGCTCTCTGAACATGACTACATTCCAGACGATTAAAAATTTCTTCTTCTGTTTCTGGAGTGAGCTGTATATTATCTTTGATTGGAGACAAAGGATCTGACTTTCTACAAGAAGGAAGTTTTTCATACTCCCTGCACAAAAAAAAAAAACAAACAACAAAGACAAAACAAAACCAAAGAATGTTATGATATTTTGTGTTTCTAACCACAAGCCAGTAAGAATATACAGGTTAAAACAAAGCAAGACCCCTCACCTACCCACTCCACCTATGAATAAGTACAAACTAAAAATTTCTGATGCAAAGTGTTAATTTTAGTTTCAATACAACTGAACAACTTCACTGAAAGTGACAGAATGATAGCTGTTAGCTTTATTTATGAAAGACTGTATGGCTCCTTAACATTTAAGTTTTCTGAATAAGTGTAGTTGTATATCTATCTCCTGTGAGCCTTGACATTAATGCAGAACAGATTAGTGTCCCACATGATTTATTTGCATGAGGTAATGCAATTGTTAAAACATAAGGCTAATTTAGAAATATCTTAAAATCTGGAAGAAAAAAGAGTTAAGTGAGTTCTAGCAGTAAAAAACCCAATTTGTGAAATGTGTTGAGAAAAAAATCCCCTAAAAGCTAATAAACTATTGCTTACGTAGAAGTAATAGAAAAATATATCCCCAGTATAAACACCCAGAGGTTACAAACCAACCAAAACTGGATGGATAAAATGTGCATGGTGGGAGCCAAGTCTTGCAACCATCAGCAGAGAGTGCCACCTAGGCTCACAGTGCTCTGAATACTTGTATTCTGATAAATCCAAATATATGAATTTTCTCCCTGTGAGCAACCCTGGTCAGACATTCCCGAGTAGAGGTCAAGCAATAAATACACAAACACTTTCATGTCCTCCTTGAAACTGTCAGCCATTCTAACAAACCCATAAGGAGGATAATAAAAAGTAAGATTTGTAAAAAAGTAAATACTGTAAGTCATATTTTTTAAAGATAAATCAGTTCTATGTTTACAATAACCTCCCCTAAGGCCCAAACTTACTAAAATACATTCATCTGAATTAACACACGCTCAGTAATATCAACATTTACTACTCAGTGCAAAGAATCCTTTTGTCCTACTCACATTTGATTTCAAGTTAGTGAAAATAATTTTATTTAAATAAGACTTATTTACTCAAAGTTGAGATTGCTACTTAAAACTGGGAAAACTTTGCCACCAGGAGTTTTTACCTGAGCCTATAGAGATAGCGTAAGTTAGAATACCTACATTCAGGCTCTGTTTTACTTTATGAAATTATTATTGCCCTTCAAATTCAAACCTTGAAGCTATTTGCAGAAACTTTAAGTTAGGCATCTCCACAAAGAAAAGCAACAGCATTTTATAGTATGCAAAAATGTCTCTTGTAACCAGATACTCCAGATAACAGAAATAGTCCATCAATTTACTGACATCTTGAAAGCAGAACACTTCTGACAATCAGCCATCTCCAAATGTGAGTGACATAGTTAAACAGAAGCAGTCCTGTAGTCAACTAAATTTAGCAACTTTAATGCAGCTTTTGCATTCAGGTCAAGAAATGATTTTTGGTGTTTGATGGTAAACAATGGCAATGATTTTCATATCAATTATGGTAAACTAAATGTAATTATCAGTAAAATTCAGTAAGTCAATTTTAGCCGAGAGTTTTTCCTGGTTAGAAGGGAAAAAGTAACTATAAAAACGTATTTACTAAAAACCACGCTTCATGTTTGCATCAGGCTTAGGAAGTTATAAATTGTATGTAGAAAATATCTAATCTTGCACTGTTACCCTTATTGAATTGTATGGAGAACATGTGTAGAGCTGCTTTGAAAATTGTTTCTTTGTGAAAAAACACAGAGTGTACTAAGTAAAGGGGTTAAAGCAACTCACCTTTTAAATTGGAAGCTTTTCCAGAGGTCACCAATTGATTGCACTGATTGCAGCCCCAGCTTATTTTCAGTATCACAGTCCCTTCTCTTCTGCACAGGTGACAGTTTCCTGCTTAGTCCACTTACTTTAGCTGGTATCAATGGCTTGAGCTTTGTTACCATATGTGACCTTATATTACTGGATTTACGTAATCCAGGAACCTGTGGGATTTTAATATTGCAGTACACATGGTTAAAATGACAACCTGCAAGCAACAGATATTATGCTGCAAAGCTTTTAGTAAAAAAAAGCAGTTTACATTGTGTTGAGATAATGCAATCTGAAATGCCACAATAAAGTATATTTAGATAGTCTATAATCTGAAAAATAGCATCTAAAGCACAAGATAGACTACAGCTGTAAGAACTGGCAAACCAACTTCCATAAGTCTTCATATTAAGGATGTAAATACTCATTTCTTTTGAATGCAGTTTTTTAAATCTACTGAATATTTTTTTTTCTCTGTTTGAAGACTATTTGTTGTGCTCTCATAAAATTCTAAAAGATGGCATTACAAGAGAAGCAATTATTTGGTTGTCACTCCCTGTGACACTCGGATTTCATGAAGATGAAACCATATGCCAGAGCACAAGTAACAGTACAATGACCCCAAGGACCATCAGACCTCTAGCTGGACCTTCTTATCCAGCTTCTATACCAGGAGTTCAGAAAAGCTGTGCTTGGCCAGAATCTCTCAAATGCAACCAGACTTAAGTTGGAACATCTTAGCATCCTTTTCTTCAAGGAGAATTCATAGCTTAGTTCTTTCTGAAACATCATGGCATTTTGCCATCCCCCCACCACACACATTTGTTATAAATTATACTGTGTTCAGTTTTGGTCCCTATCTACAAGAAAGACACTGAGGCACTGGAATGAGTCCAGAGACAGACAATAGAGCTGGTGAAGGGTCTGGAGCACAAGTGCTAGGAGGAGCAGCTGAGGGAGATGAAGGTGTTTAGCTTGGAGAAAAGGAGGCTCAGGGGTGACCTTATCACTCTCTTTCTTGCCTGAAGGGAAGCTGTAGCCAGGTGGGGGCTGGCCTCTTCTTCCAGGCAACTAGTAATAGGACATGAGGAAATGGCCTCAAGCTGCACCAGGGAAGGTTTACATTGGATATTAGGAAAAAATTTCTTCCTGCAAAGGTTTGTAAAGCATTGGAATAGGCTGCCCAGAGAAGTGGCAGGACCACAATTCCTAAAAGTGTTCCAAAATTGTGCAGGTACAGCACTTCAGGATACAGTTCAATGATGTACATGCTAGTGCTGGGCTGACAGCTAGACCTGACTGCAAAGGTCTTTTCCAACCTTAATGATTCTTAGATTCTGTTATTGAAATGACATTGTTTCTACCTAAATTATTAAGCAGGTCTTGGTATTCCAAGAGGGAAAAAATGTTTAGAATGTAAGCTAAAAATTGGAACAAGAATACTAGAAGAACAAATAAAATCTTTAAACTGCCTGCTTCAGAGTATTTCACTTACCTATCACCTCAGTCTTTTTGCAGCATGTGAAGGCACCCAAATCCTATGTATCCCTGTAGTACTGAATTAGGTCAGAGTTATAAGTTAACTTATAAGTTAAGTTAGCTAACTCAAAAGTAGGCAAAGCTGCATGGTGAACTCATACCAAGAAATTTAAAGCCAGAGCAGAATTCTCTTTTCTATTATCAGTATTAACCTCTTTGCTGAGCTCATAGCAATTGTGAAAAATAACTAGCAGTAAAAACCACAGCTGGAACAGTATCACAGAAAAAAACTTGAGGTCTTAGGGAGCTTAGTATCACACAGGCGTTTGTTAGTAAAAAGCTTCTACTAGTTTTGATATTAGAATTGAGTAGGTAGCACTTCACATTTTGGATTGGAACCACAATTAGAGCTGACAAATTTTTCAGATTGCCTTCCCCAGCTATTAAATTCCTCTAAGTAAATCTACATAGCTGATATTCATCTTAGCAAAATCAGAATAAATTATGCATTATGTGATTGCTTCTTCCCTAAATCTGGAACTCATTTTCCCCTTTGGTATCTTCTATTGTATTTAACATCAGCAAACACTTTCCTTGTTTTACACTTGCAGGATTCCTAATAAACTTCCTAACAAGATTTTAATAAATTCTAAAGATAAAATGAGCCAAAAGTGATGCTACTTATCTCTGCCTTCCCTCTCCTATGGTCTTGCTGGTGCTCCAACTCGGAGGAGTCCAAGACTCTGAGTGGGCCCGTTACAATATGACTGACATTTTGGTTGCTGTTACTTTTTGGCCAAGCCAGTTTTCTGATGTAATTCTTTATAATTACTATTACCAGCACATAGAGGAAGAAGAGAGAATTCATGGCCATGGAAATAAGTGGTAGAAATCCTCCTAGTACTGACTTTCTTTAAACTAACACTATTGTCCTCACAGATTTTCAGCAGTTTTTGTTTTCTGAAGGGCTCCAAGCATGCTTAAATTTTGTTTTTATGGGATGCTTATATTACATCAGTACTTCCATAATGTGATCCATCAATATTTAATACATTCATTCTCCCAGTATACCTTCTATGATGAGCGAAATAATGTAAAACATATTAAACACAGCCTTAAAACCAAAGTAATAAAAACTCTGAATGCCAGGACAATTTCCTTGCTCAGTCTTGCTGAGGAAAAACAGGAAAAATGTTAATGTTCCAAAATACGAAAGTCAATTTCTCCTTAACAAATAAGTTCCTAACAATAACCACAAGATGTCACTACTTTACAAAGCACACAATACTCTAGTGTGGCAGAGAGAAGCTTGTGATTTTTAGTCTGTCTACAAGAAAACTTAATCGGGGGTATACATAGAAGGATGAAAACATCTGTCTCTTACTTATCTATCTTCTGGCCAGTTCTAATGACAACACCTAAAGAGTCAGAGCTGTAAAAGTCTTAGAAGATTTTATCAACTAGTCAAATATATTAAGCTTTTAGAAATGTTCCAAAGACAAGGAACATAAGTTTATTCCTAGACATCCAAACACAGAGAAGTCAAATTACAGTTGTAATTTGTGACTATAGCTGGACTGTGAACAGTACTGCAATTTATATCATAAAACCTTAAGTGGGTTTTCTTGCCTTACCTTGGCTTACTTTACATTAAAGTGTTTAGAATCCCCAAACAAGTTGCAACTCTGTTTTTAAACATAGGTGGTTATATTTCAAACCCCAGCTTCCAGGGTAGATGAACAAGAATATATCTTTGTCTTGCCAACATTTGCATTGCTTAAGTCTTCCATTACAAGTTCTAAAATGAACTAGTAGAAACTGATTTTCAGAGTTTAGTAAAGTTCAAAGTTAAAAGAATTCTTACCTTTGTCTTTATGATTGTACTTTTTTTATTAGTTTGAGCAGCAGAAAATAGCAGAGACAGAGAACATCGACCATCATTTAGTTTTGAACTGGAATCAGATTCCTTCAAGAGAAAATTGATCTGGGTTTAAAACAGGTTGCCTTTTTGTAAACACAATATATGTTTTCATATCTACATGTACATACGTTAAGGTACTATGTTTTCAGCAGTTCTAAGAACTCATACAAAGACCTGGGCTTTTAGCAAGCAACACTACAAAGGCATGCATACACTTCCAAAACCACTTCAGGGACTAAAAACAGAGAACAAAAGGTGAAGAACCAGGAGTTTTTATGACACTGCAGTGATAGCAACAGAAAGACTCTTGACAAACTAAAACCAGAGAACAGATTTTATTTAAGCTAGTATGTCAATCCATTCTGTATAATTATGTTAAGCATTGATAAGAATATGATCATTCTGTGATTTTGTTTAGAGACAAGTTTTGTTAGCACAAGCTACATCATCTGTAGGGCACCATTCTGGAAAGGAGACCTCACTGCATAATTTCCTTCATAATTTAAAGCGAAAAGAAATGCTGAAACAATGTCTAATTTTCTTACCTTTTCACCTGAGCTGTTTTTGGACACTTGTAGGATTTCTGAAGACTCCAAACTGCATTCTGATGGCTCACAAGACCCATCAGACTGTGATGACTGTTCCAGTTCTATTAAGGGGGTGGACTCTTCTTCTGATTCATCACACATTGCCCCATTAATCTGATCTTCCTGGGATACAGTGCAGTTGTTTCTCTGTTGGCAAAACTGCTGTGAAAACACAACATGAGATGGACCAAGATTTCTTGAGTTACTTTTGAGGCTGCTAAACCACTGGAAATAACTTTTCTGCATTTCTCCAGGAGGTGCAGACACAGTCCGTGATGATTTTTCAGTTTCTGAAAACCTAGAAACATCTTCAGCTACCTGTTTTACTTCCTGTTCCTGGCAATCCTGCTCAGCATCTTGAGTTAGATCACCATCTTCCTTCTTTGCTGTACTGTCAAACATAACTGCATCATTGCAGAAAAACCTAAAAAAGAAAAAAAAAGGTGAAGGCAAGGGGGAAGAAAATGATGAAGTTATGTAAATGAGTATGTCATTGCCAATCATTGTCTCAGTTTTATTTTCAAGGTATGCTTGCAGACAAATTATTTTGGCAATGGCATTCTTTGACTAAAATACTAAGGTGATTCTTCACCTGAAAGAGAAAGATCTAGAAATCCTACAAAATTTAAGAATATATTAATTAATGATGATAAAGCTAACAGTGAAATAGTTCAGCACCACTTATCAAGGAAATCAGAACCTTACCACTTTTTTTCTATGCTATAGCAGCAGCTCCTGAGCATACTGAGCACATATTTAGGGAAGAACCCATCATCAGAGACAACTTAATTTTTGATGCAATAAAAAACCTTTCAAAAATTTTCAGCTCAGAAAGGTGTGCTTTAAAACTAAGGTATTACTGCTCTATAAAATTGCACTGCTCAAAAATACTCGGACTGTTTAATAGTAGACTTAACTGTGATAATGTTTTGTAAAACAAATCCAAGTAGTTGTGGCCAAATGTGACTAAATAAAAAAACTCAAAAAAACTAACAAAGTCCCTGCTCTCAAAGTGCTGCTGCAGAGATCAGCAGTGTCAGCTGAATGAGATGGGAAAAGAACAGGTATTTGTCATAGAGTATGACCAGGTTTAGCGTTACTGAAACAAACAAAAAAACCTGTCAGCTTAAGTTCATGTATTCATTAATTGCTTACGTATTTGCCACAAAGTAGTTACTTTGGTTTTTTTTGAGATATGTCACATGTCCTTTACCTGAAAAAAACCCCCAAGCCAATTCCTAATTAATTTTGATACCCAGAGGTTTCAAATATTTTCTTAAGAGCCACTAAATTGATCACAGAGCTGGAGCACCTCTCCTACAAAAACACGTTGAGAAAGTCATGGCTGTTCAGCCTAGAGAATAACAGGCTCCAGAAAGACCTTATAGCACTTGCAGTACCTACAGGGAAGGCTGCAGGAGAGCTGGAAAGGGACCAGCTTTCATAAGGGTATGTAGTAACAACACAAGAGGGTGTGATCTTAAGTTGAAGGAGGTTGAAATTAGATATTGGAAAGAAATTCTTCACAGTGGGGTGAATGTGAGTGTGGTGCACTGGAACAGGTTGCCCAGAGAAGTTGCAGATGCCTCATGCCTGGAAGTGCTCAAGATCATGCTGGATGGATCTCTGAGCAGCCTGGTCTAGTGAAAGGTGTCCTGACAATATCAGGGGAGTTGGAACAAGATGATTTTAAGGTCCCCTCCAAACCAAACTAGTCTATAATTCTAGGAATAGTCTCAGCCTTCACTTCTGCAGTAAAAAATGAACATTATCTGTCTCACAAATAGATAGCATGCCTAGCACAAGGGATCCACCATCTTAGCTGAGATGCAGTACAGTTGCATAAATTGTTTGAGGTAGCATTTTTCCTATTTTCAGTATTCAGACTATTTTAACAACCAGAACAGCAAATAATATTCTGCTACTTATGAAAACATGTGACATACCTGCTTCTTGTTCCTGGAACAATTACAGCATCCTTCTCTTTGCTTTTCTTTTGTAAAAAGGAAGCAAATTTATTTCTAACTCTGGGTACAGAGTTAGAGCTGTCTTGAGTGATGGAAATTCCTGGAGAATCAAGGCTTTTCATTGCTGACACATTCTTTTGTGCTTGACCATCATTATCATTCTCCTTCTTGATTCTTTTTGTTTTTGAAAATGAATATTGCGTCAACAGATCTCCATCTGATATTTCTTCTGAATCTAAGGACAATTTAAGCATCACTGTAGAAGCACATTCTACAATTAACCAGTTTTGAGTTAACTAGACATTACATATTTACTCTCACAGGCTTAAAAATATTAGTAAGGTCTGGTAAAATTATTGACACTAGAGTTTAGATGTCTTTAACACCATTGCTTTCTAGTACATAGCCTTAAAAATAACTCAGTGAAAAGGTAGATGGAGTGAAGGCAGAACGACTACAATGAAATTACATTTGATTTAAAGGCAGGTTGCTAAACTACCTACAGAGGGAATAAGTAAGCGAGGGAAAAGGAAGATACCAGGAGTAACAAAGTAAAAAAGTAAAGCCCCAGCAGTATAATCAGAAAGCAAAGGAAAACACTTAACATATAAAGGACAATAGGAACAAAAAAGTGCCTCTTCTATTATAAGCCCACAGTTTATCTGAGCACATATAACTCAGGTGGTATAGAAGATGAGATATCACAGATGCACTAGAGAAAGTGAAAAGGTTGGCATACAGAGTATCTATACAGGGGATAGAGGCAGCACAGTCTGAGTATAGAAAACATTCTTTATGTTTTCTGTCTGGCCTAATACCAATGCTGGGAAAAACAGACTGTTTTAATTTCTTCACAAGCCATTTTAAGATAGAAATTAAAATCAAAACTATTTCGAAATACAGATTGTATTAAACATAACTTGAAATTGAAACCACCAGGGTTTCATAGCAAACCAAAGAAAGTTAAAATCAAGTCCTGTTGAAAGTTTGCTGTCACCCTCAATCATTATCTAGGTTTTAATATTACGGCTTGTTAGTCTTGTAGCTTGTTGAAAAGAGAATACAGACAATAATTCAAGAGTTAAACCTCTAAAGCCACAAACCATAAAAGCCTCATTCATATACTTATTTCATAAACATACCCTCCTTGGCCTTTTTGCCAAGAGCTCTTTGCCTGCAAGCTTTAGTCCTTTAACACTGATTATTTTCTCCATGCCTTTGGTTATTGGTTTCTCTGGGAAATACATTTTAGGAGGAGCAGGATCTTCAGTGGGGCCAAACTTGTATTCTCTGCTCCAAATGCTATTGACATGATTATCACGTCGGTCATTCCACCCACGGCTTCTCTGCTGCACAGGCTACAAAAAACAATTCAAAGCCAAGACATAAGTTAATAATCTTGCCTTCTATATCTGATTTCCTGACTTATCATACATGGAAGGAAATGTTGACATTTGTACATCTAGTGACATACTCTCCATAAACCCTTCTTTTGTTCCCACAGTTCTCATGCTTTTCATACTTTTTGTTGTGCTCCCATGATGTCTTCATTTCAGTATGGCACAAGTAACTAACTGCTCATCTCAGACCAAATTTAAAGTTTAAAAATTTATTTCTATTCAGGAAACAATTCTGGATTACTCTTGGAAGAAATCCAAAGCTCTTTGAGAATTTTCTCTTTAAACCAGTTACCTCTGTAAATAGATTTAATAACTTACCAAAAAAGTCTGAAAGTAAAACAGATATTAAAGTCAAATACCATGAAAAATAAAACTTCACCTTTAAAACGAGTGAGAATTATGTCTGTAGGAGCACACATATTCTGTAATACCAGAATAGCTTTCACTGACAATTAATTTGAGAATAACATTCAATCACATTTTCCCATTAACATTCAGACCCACATCATATTCTTAATATCTAACTTCATAACAAAGACGTTACCTGTGCCACGTCAGGGTTATAATTATCAATTTGTTCCATTGTATTGATATCAATATTGCCAATAGCAATTTGAAAAGCAGTATCATCACCAACATGTCTGTTCCCATCATAGTAAGGGAAAATATCTGAATATTACATTATATTTCAACAACTGTACCATGAAAGTTAGAACAGCCACTTTCCCCTTTTCCAGCTAAAAAGCATGGCTAGATTATTAACCCAAAGGATTAATACTATTACTCCTGGCTTATTCTGATCTAACAGTAATTGTAACAGATCTACAGTCTTTCGGAAATCATGACAGTCAAAATTAAACCCTTCAATTATCAGCAGGAGAGGCAGTACCTTTCTCTTTCCTAATTTCTGCACAAGCCAGAGATTAGATAGCTTGAACATACAAAGCTAATAACTACTTTAACACTCCCCTCTCTTCCTTCATTTTCCTAATCTTCCATGTTGAAATTTATATTGCACAGATGTGGCAAAATGCTACTTTTTCTATACAAAGGGGAATCTAGTAAAACAGGAAATACTAAGATTAGAGACTGAGTTGAGCACAAATTGCCAGAATTAAACTAGAAGAGATTACAACAAAAGACAGTCAGAAATTCAAGACAGTAATAAAGAAGTTAGTTTATATTTAAACTTTTATATTTATATTTATTATATTATTATTATGTAATAAAATATAATATTATACATTTTACTATATTATTTTATTTTATTAATTATTAATTATATTATTATTTATTTCTATTTAAAAATTTGTTTTCTAAAGAAAACAACCATATCAATAATTTCTACCTAAAACTATGTATCAGTAATAGGTCATTTAGTTACTCCCTGCACTTTTAAAAAGATTATTAAAACCAGAGCAAAGGAGAGAAGAAGAAAACCCCCACGAAAGTTTTTGACTGCAGAAAAGCCAGGCTTTAGTCAAAAGCAGGGATGCAAAAACAAAAAAAATGTAAGTACATCACAGATGTAATGAAAGTTGTAAGATACCACATCAGCTCACCCTTATTTCCCCATTTTGCTGTTTCAACACAAAGGATACCGTCCTGCGTAAGTTAATGTTTCTGGATCAACATCATCTCCATATGCATTCAGAGGAACTAATTTTCTGTTGACAGGATCAAAAACTAACTGATACAGGAATGTATTATTAGCTCTGGTAAAACCCTGTATGTATTCTTCTGATACTGTTATATTCATCTTCAAGTACTGCCCCATTTTCTTAATAACCTGTCAAAAAAGAAATTACTCAACTGTTTCATTTTAACAGGTCACATGAAAGGTAAAAACATTTCAATTATTAATTATCTTTGCTTGTAATTAAATGTAGAATGAGTGTCCGACTGCAACAAGCAAATTCAATTTAAATAGGGGACGGAAACAAAACTGTGTCTTATTTTCCTACTCAAGTCGTCTACAATTACATAAATAACACAAGTCAATTTTATCTCCTTCTTTAATAAATAAATCAGTACAAAATATGATCAGAAAAACAGATCAACTCCTTAAGGTGCATTTACTTAAACTACTGCACATCAAATTTTTATCATTCATATTACCAGGACTTATAAACAATATATGGGTGTTTTTATAATGGAAAACCAAAAGCAAAACTAACCAGAACAAACCCTAGAATTTTGCTCAGAGATACATTAAAGCAAATAATGATTTACATGGGAAAATTCAAAGTTCCCAAAGCCAAACCAGTTGCTTTGATGTCTGCTCTGTATGATACAAAACATTTTAAAATTAAAAATCACAGTTCTCTGTGAGAGAAAAAAATAAAATACACTAAAACACACAAGTAATATAAGAAAGAAGATAACAAACTAAGTTAATTAAACTGCATACTAAAATACTTTTCTGCATTAGATTTACCTGCCTCCAGGACAGCCCCATGAGGTATTCTTTTTATTAGCTCTTAACCTCCCTACTCCCTTACAACCCACACATAAAAAGTTATTCCCACCCTCTTAGCCTCTGTATCTCCTCATATGAGATTTGTTTTAATTTCATACAATGGACAAGAAAAAAAACAACCCTATATTAATTTGTTTTGCATCATATCACATTTTTCTTCAATACTGTTTTTAAAGAAATACAGAAATGCCCATATCCATATGTATGTCATTAAATAAGATTTCTAATCTCTATCCCTCCCCCACACAGATAAATCTGTCCTCATACAAAAGTAACAGTTCATTAAGCAGTTCTAATAACTAATCTGCAGAAGTAGAAGAAAGCAATAATTAGCAGAAAAAAAACCCATCAAAGTCTTACAAAAGATTAAGTTTCCCCTTCCCTTCCTCAAACAGAATATACCCTCAAAGGGTTAAAACAAATCTTTACCTAAGCTTACTTTAGTATATTTCTTATTAATATATGACAGCTTCAATACTTAGGTTTAGTTCAGCATCTTTTTTAAGCACGGGTGAAAAATACTTTTTAGTATTCTCCTTAAAATGGAGGAGGTCAAGCACCTTTCATATTTTCAATTTGGTGTTAAATTTCATATATACTGATATAGGCTCCCAAAAAACAAAACACAAAGCAAAACTGAGTTTACCTTTATAATATCTGGATTGTTGGCTAATTTTAGTAACTTGCATGCTTTAGCTAACCCAATTCCATGAATTGAAGGGAGGTAGTCACAACCAGAAAGAATACACATGTAACGGAATTTCTCTTCTGTAAATACATTTCCAAGCTGCTTGCAGTTTCCTAGCCGACTTTGATCTATCTCTAGTCCATTTCCAAACTTGTCAATTTTCAGAAACACCTGAAAATTAAGAGGAAGTAAAAACAATAATTTTCACCCATGTAAGATGGTTCACTGCACTTGGTGGAAACAAGAGAGGCGAAGTGCTATTCTCATCTCTTCTGTTTCCCACATTTGCTGTAGAAGAGTTAACCCATACATCAAACATATTTGGCAACTTCAAGCTCTGCTTTTCAAATATCAGCAAGAGGCAAAGGCTATTACTATTTTCTTCCATACCTTTTTACATCCAAAAGCCAAAAGATCAGAGTCTTCCGTAATTATAGCTTGAACTATGCCAACTTTATTAAGATAAGCCAGCTGAGCATCAGCTTCATAAGGAGCAACAATACAATCAACTCCCTGGGCACGTGCAGCCTGTACATAAACAAGAAGCATGCAAGTACTTTGCATTAATTTTCAGAAATTACCTTAAGAGATCTGAAAGCACAAAAACCTCTACGTTAGAAAGCCAAAATCATGACCCTTTTAACCACACACCCATCCTGCCCCCAGTAAGAGTCCAGTATTTCATAGTTAAAAACTCAACTTTTAAGCACTTTAGATCTATGTACACTGGTTTACAAAAACAACCTTTCCTATAACACTGTTGCTACTGCATCTGACCACAGGTGACAGCTTCAAACTCATGCAAGTTACATTCTGGACAAAGGAGAACAGTACTAGAGTAACATTAATACTGTTTGATAAAGACCGTATGATTGCATTGAAAGTATAGCAAAAAACTACTAGAACACTTTTTAATCAGCCAATTTTTTTCCTGTAGTCTATGCTCAGAAACTAGACAAGGGCAAAAATGCAAAAAAAAACCTGATTATTTTTTGTGCTGCAAAAGTAAAACGGATGTTATCAAATTCAGTTCATAGTGGTAGGAAGCACTGTGTTTTGTTTGACACATTATTATTTATACAAACGGGCATAATAAACTTAATCTTCAAGTTTGTTAATTGTGCCTAAGAATCCAGTAATATGCAGGATAATTAGAGATTAAGCAGGTGGGACTACTTTTCTATATAGAAGAGGCAGTGATGTAGGCACAAAAATGCAGGGTAAGATATGCTACCTATTGCAGAGATTTTTTTTAAACTGGCATTATCAATAATGGTGACAACTTACTTTAATAACTTCATGAGCCATAGCATGGGTAATATTTACACTGCGCCCAAAACATTCTCTAGCTTCTGACAGTCTCCCTTCCTGCAACAATTGTTTCCCTCTCAGAAGACTGGCTTGACGTCTCCTAAAAGACAGACAAAAAACATTCACTAATCTCAGATTATTTTTCATTTGAAAGAACAAACAGCAGAAGGGACTAAGAGAGACAGGTAATAAAGGGGAAAAAATTGCCACACCTTCCAAATCTGAGCTACTGAATAATTTTTTAAAACTAAAGAATAACTAGGTCATTGCATTGACAAGGACAAATAGATTTGAATGTTAAATTGATAATATTTTCTCAGAAAACAGTGACAAATAGGAACTGAAATTAGCAGTGTAAAAGAAGAAATGCACCCACTCAGCTTGCAGTAAAATAGATTTAATGGGAGTTGGGAGTATCTGATACTTATTGATTTAGAGGACAGAAAACCTAATTTACTTAATTTCATAAATCGGAAATTGTTCACTTCATGCTGAAGAAAGCACATGTCTCATGAGAATTCATAAATAACGAGCACTACTGAAAAATCCTCACAGCTTCAGTAGAAAGATTCATTTATAGGGACCTGAATCCAAATTTGAAATAAGTTTATATTCTTAGTTGTAGAGAAAGATAGGGAAAGGGTTGTTATTTTTAAATAAAATTATACAGGGAAAAAAATATTTTTGTCCAGAGATCACAAGTGTGGGTAAACTAAAAGCCTCTAATACATTACAGGAACTACTGCTCAAAGGTTTGCTTCCTTCCTCTATAAAATGGCTTTCATTTATGAAGTGCATTTCTATTTTTGGAATAAAACCTCTAAGAAGTTTTATGATTTTAGACATAAATTTAAAAATATCACACTATATTGCAGGAGGGTTTACCAGAGCTTACTTCCTAGCTGAAGTTTGAGGGTTTTTGATTTTTACTGTAGTGATAAAACTGCTTTGCTTGCAAATCAATACAGTTTGGTACTTACTCTCGTCGTGCCTTTTCCACTTCCTTCTTAGAAGGTAGGGTACATCCATCAAATACCAAAATTGGTTTGATTCCAAATGAGAGCAGCATATGAACAAGTTTCATACAGAAAGCTACGTAACTGTATCAACAATAACAAAAGTAAGAAAAGAAAGATAAACTTCATTGTTAACCACAAGTCTATTACATATTTTCCAGTTGCAGGAAAGGAGAACTGTATACAGGAGAACTGTATAGTTAGGACTAACTATAGTTCAAAAATCATAACAGCCTGTATAGTCCCCCTGTATCACAAAAATCTAAGAGCACTTGAATGCAGTTTGGTTGGGTATTTTTAACAAGAGAAACAATCCACCTCCTAGTTCAGAAATGGGCTGACTGCTCCTCTCTCCTAGAAAAAATGAAATAAGAATTCAGATGATTTTGCTACATTAGGATTCAATACTGACAAAACTTGACCAGTTAAAACATGGATTGTCTTTTTACTTTCAATTCATAATGGCCAGGGAAACAGGAAGGAGACAAGCACAGTACATGATCTTTCCCCAGAAAGGCAGACTAAATGCACTTTTGTAGTGTTGGAAGTGATGGGGGTTATTTAATCTCTCCTTGTACAACTATCCACTCACTCTTCTCTCTAGATAATGGATGTATTCTATGGACAAGCCATACAAACCTATCTTCCCATACTAAAAATACAGGTACAGCACTGAAAATACTCCAAAAGACACAAAAGTTCCCCTTCTGTACAAACTGTGAAGAGGGTATATGGCCCAGGAGGCAACCCTCCACTCCCTTCAAAGCCCATCCCTTGAAAAAATATTTGTTGGACGTTCCAGATGTTATTTATTCCCTCAGACCTCTCATCTTCTTACCTGTTATTTCTACAGATCTGTACGAGATCATTTCATCAGCAGCACAGAACTAAAATCTAGTAACTGTTGTAAACACTAAGCAAGCACATTGCAGAGATGCTCAAAAAAAAAAAATTACTTATTTTAAGGACAGTGTTTAAAACAGCAAGAGCAACCTCATCAACACAGGAAGGGAGAAGGAGAGTGGGATGTAGAAGCATTTAGAATGCAAGGATATGAGCACTGAAGAAACTGGATTTGCAGCTACTGAAAAATAACAATGATTCTTGAAAGACAGAAGCAAATAGCACTGTAGCTATAGAATACCTTTGAACAGATGAATTTTAAAGTATGGAAGTACTCTACATTATAGTTAAGGTGCCAGTCTAGGATCACATGTGCATGGAAACAAGATTTGCCCGTAAAGTACTCATTTATTCAACCATTCCAAATGACTATGAATATTTCTCCTGACATTTTTTCTTCAACTGAAGCGAGTCCTATTCTCAGGACTCTGTGGAACCTCCACTACCTTCAAGGCAGGGTTGAAACTCCACAATTCTTCAAATTAACATAAGCAGCAGTAAATATTTGAATCCATTTGCAAAGCACCAACTATCTCTTGACTCCAATCAAACATATGATGGATCCAAGGTCCTCTGGGTGGTGCCAAGCAATAGGACAAGAGGCAGCAGGCAGAAACCAAAACAAGGAATTCTACCAGAATCGAAGTAGAACCTCCTTACTGTGCAAGTGACCAAGCACTGAAACAGCTTGGCCAGAGAGGTTTTCGAGCCTCTTCCTTCTCTGGAGATATCTGAATGCCATGTGGACTCAACCCTGAGTAATGTGCTCTAAGGGAACCTGCATGAGATGACAACCAGTGGTCCCTTCCAACCTTACCTATATCCAATCTAAAAAAAGAGTCCAACACACATTTCCAGAAACTGGCAAGAAATGCAAACCTGATTTGAAGTGTGGAGCTGAATCTGAAATATGACCACATTTTTGTCCGTTCCCTTCCCTAGAAATATAACTGTCTAAATGTGTTTTAGGAAAGCTACTTTCACTAAAAACATAGTATTTTAAGCAAAAAAATCTTACACCTTATTCAAAGCACAACACATCTCTCAAAATTCCTTGGCATCAATACAACCTTTGTCACAGCTGTATTTACAAACTCTTTTGCTTACAAAAACGGTGTCTTAAAATAATATTAAGTTTGAAATCGAAGATTTGCACCTACAGAAATTCATCAGAGAAATTAGATTATAGTTGAGAGTGAGACATGCTAGGAAAAAAAAAACCGTAACTGATACAGCCTCGGGTATTCTAACCAAAAAATATTTTGAGAGGTTTTCCCCAACATATACTTTAATATTTTTATTTCGCACAGCTGTAAAGCTATTTATTTATTCCCATTTCTAAAGAGTTCAACTCAGAATTCAGAAGCAATAGTAAGAAGCGAAACTACTGTAACTTAAGATTTTAGTTCAAGAAACACCAAGTTAACAAAAACTTAAGTTTGTAAAAGGGCCGAGACTCAAACGTAAGAAAGACTTACAAATCCGTGGGCTCTCCTCGGGCCAGCTTCTCAGCACAAGCGTAGGCGCCTTTGTGCAGCCAGCAGTAGGTGTCCACAGCTACCGTCAGCCCTTTGTATTTCTTCACGTGGGAAGGCTCGGCAGCCTCCTTAATAAACTGGAGCAGGCCCTGGATCCCCATGATGCCGCAGAACGGGGAAAAAAAGAAAAGAGCGAACACAAAGCCGAGTGCTTTGTGCTCTCGACCGTCACTCGTGATCTTCGCTCGAGGCCCGTCAGGTCAGCTCACAGACCAGGGCCACGAGAAGCCCCTGCGGGTGCCCCCACGCACCCCGGCTCGGGGCCGCCTCCCCACGCGGCGGCGGCTGTAGCTCCTTACGGGCCGGTGCTTCCCGGGGAGAGGGCCGAGAGAGAGGCCGAGAGAGGGGCCGAGAGAGGGGCCAAGGAGGAAAGCGGAGACTCGGCCCCCGCCCGTCCGCCCGCGCCTCGCTGGAGCAGCCGCAGCTCCTCCGGCCCGGCCCAGCTCAGCCCCGGGGCTTTCGAACAGCGCGCGCCGAGCGCGGCAGCCCCGCCCCACGGGCGGGGACTACGATTCCCATGGTGCCCCGCGCGGGAGGGGACGGGGCCCGCTCTGCCGCCCTGGGACAGGTCATTGCTGACGGAGTCCGTCCCTTACGGGCCGCGTGCGGCGGGCACGGCGCGGGGGCGGCGGCGGGAATGTGCCGTTTATAAACATTAAACAGGCAGAAATCAAAAGGCCCCGCAGAGTTTTAACAGGACAAGGGACTGTAGCCAACGCCGTGAGAGGGAAGGGGAGGGGCTGGCACGGGTCACTGACTGCCAAGGATCAGTGAAGCACAGATGTTGTGGTTGCAGCGCTGAGACCCTGGGGTTCATGTAAGAACGGGTGGTCAAAGTTGCAATTAAGTGATACAGGTTATTTTTCTTGTCACTTAGCGTAAAGCTTTGCTTGCATAAATAAAAATTGCAGTAAGAAGTAAATGTAGGCCAATATCTACCAGACAGCAGTTTATTTTTCTACGTGCGATTTTGAAGCCTGTACAGTTCTTAGATACTCGGTGATGTGGATGACTCAGCCAGCAGTGTAGAAAGCAATGTTTCCAGACAGGGGATAGCAGAGTTTAAATTCAATGCATTCTGGCAAGAGCATATCTAAATTGCAACTTCTCAGCTAAGAAATGCATAGAAATAACTTGGCCACAGTGATAGCATAAGATGTTCTAATGTTGAAAATATTGATTGAATTCTGCTTTGACAATTCTTTTTTCACTCCATGATTCTGACTATATATGACGCACTTTACAAGTTTTAAATCCAATTGCAGTTAGGATTCCATTTGGATTAGGTTCACTTCTCTTAAGAATATGTTATCCTGTCACTTCTGACATTTCTTTTGCTATCAAACTGCTGTGCTCATGGGAAGAACAGAAATCAGAGTAGACAATGTAATGTACCAATATCATTCTAAATTCTATGTGCAATTCAATTAAATATATGTTTGACTATTTTCTGGAAATTGTGTTAAAAATACTCCTAAGGCGAACCTGAGAGTCAGAAGCACTAGAGCCAATGAACTTGCATTGAAGAAAGCCAGAGCTACAGAACTCTTGCCCGGTTCAGATTTTCCTTTTCAATTCCTTCAGCTGAAAGGATGGATACTTTGGAATTGAAAAGCTAGCACAGCATGCCTTAACATTCAGTTTATTAAAAATATTTTCAGCCATGTATGAACCAGTATGACCCACACTCATGACATCTCATAACTTCTATAAAATAACAGAAGCTTTAGACACATGATACCATGTGTCAAAGGCTTTGTTGATTTCAGTAGAGCTATCTCAAAACTGGCTAAAGACACTAATCTTTAAGTTCAACAGTGTCTCTTGGGAGAAAGTAGTTAGATGGTAACATTCTGATGAGTTATTCCTTTGAAGAATACCGTAGTATTGCAGTTTTATTTCCCATAGGTACCAGATGAAACAGGGAAGCAGCACTGCATTATGGTTAGTTACAAGACTTGTAGTAATATAGAGAATTCTTTTCTTTCACAAGTAGCTCCTGTATCAGGAGAGCTGGTAAGATTAGAAATTACTATGCCAAATCTCTACTGTGTGTTTTTTCTTTCCTTGAGCAGTTTTGTAATAGTGACTTTCAAAATACATTTTAAAGAGATCTCAAAGTAGAAAGTGTAGCAGAAACATTTTGTTTTCTTTGCAATTGTTTTCTGACATGTAATAAAAAAAGAAGAGCCATTCTGAATATAGCCCTGTTGACCCCTAATAGAAATTTGAGATAGGTGTCCAAGAAAAAAACACTGAAATACCTCCAGAACTGCTTCTTTCTCAACACAGCTCTCCTAAAGAGAGGAAATGGGATCACTGTCTGATGTAAACATCTAACCTTTACACAGACACGTAAAGCAAAATTAAATTTGTCCCCTCTGTGCACTACAATGGGCAAGGACATCTTGCAGACCTTTACTAAACTTCCTTCTGTGCAGTGTCTGGCACAGCTGGAAGTGTCTTCATGCAGTAGATTAAAATACTCAGGATGAAAAACAGCACTTTGCTGAAGCTCACAATCAGACCATCAGTTTTGGTGATATTAGTAAGTTGGGTGTCTGGTTTATACTTTTTTTTCCAAAATTTCAGTGAATTTCTTATTACCGCTACTATATTGTTTTCACTGCTTAAGAAGTTGATCACTTTTACATCAAAAAGTTGGTTTGGAAGTTAGTTTGACAATTTAATCAATTTCTTAGAAGAGAAATTTGATTTCTCTCTGATAGGTGGCAGTATTACATTCACTTCATCCTTTATCTGTCTTTTATTGAAATTTCTATTTATGGACTATATCTTTTCACAGCTTTTTAAAGCTTAGTTAAGAAGCCAGACTTTAATACCACAAGCAGTACAATGAATAGTTGTATACACTTTAGAGAAGTTTAGAGGATGACATCCTTAAACTCTATTTAGTAGCAGAGGAAATGTTTTTAAAAGATTCTCTTTTATCATGAAACTAGTATATGTTAGTATAGTTATTAGAAACCTAGATTATCTAGTTAACATAGTTTTGATATGGTTTTCTGCTGATTATATTAGCTTAGTAGCTATTCTGAACTTAAGTGTGGCTGTGCTATGCGTGGCAAGTTTTTTATGTCTCTGGACACCTAATGTCAGTATAGGGAACAAAAGCATGCTAAACTCTAGTATCTCAGTGCAGATTTTTCCCCTTGTGATCTGTCGTTGTGAAATCATACATCCGGGTGCTGCTAAAGCCTCTGCTCCCTGTAGCTGCCTGGCCCAGCCTGGCCCCTGGAGGCTTTTTGGGACAGAGCTCCAGCTGAAGCCGAGTGCAAGGGCAGTTCAGTTTCGCTTTCCAAGGCGCAGAGGCAGGAGAAATTCTCTTAATTTGTAGGTAAATCTTCAAACTAGTCCTGCAGTCATTACTACCACTTTAAATTACTCTTGGGTTGTTTTTTTTTTGGTTGGTTGGTTTTGTTTTTGTTTGGTTTTGTATTGCTTTTTTGGAACTCCCAATAACACAGGTGCCTCCAGAATCTCCAAGTCTGTCCAGAACTTGAGCTGTGCCAAGATGACTTTCTTCAGTTTTGGAACTATACAGAGCTCTCCATATATCATTAAGGCATGATCTAATAGCATTAACAGCTTGGTTCAATAATTAACAAGAAATTGCAAAAAGACAAGGAAACTGCTGCTGATAACCACAAACAACTTGGCTGTGGGAAAGGAACAGCTGTGTCATCGTATTTAAAAGAGAGCCTGAGACGAAGAAACCCGAGTTCTTCTAGGGCAGGTGAGCAGCCTCTGGGGAGGCTGTTGTTACTGTCGATTTATTTAACTTTATTTAACCCCCCTGCACCTCAGGTAAGCTATTCCTAGACTTACACACTCTGCATGCGTAGTCTGTTTTTCTGAGAAAAAGGATTTTGACAGCATTCCTTTCCTTAATGCTTCTGGTAGCACAGAGTGAGCTAGCAGATGAATAACTGTTTCAGGGAAGTCTACAGAAACATGAACCATACAGGGCTGTGGATAAAATCTTGTTTTAAGCCAATAGCTCAACTAAGTAGACTTTTTAAATGAAAGCTTAAAATGAAACAAATCTTTTGTCATGAGCAGGAAAACTGTAGATGAGATGCACTTATGAGTTATGCAGGAATGGGGTAGGGCTTCTTTTGTTGTTGAGTGGCTGATTATAAGAGGCCTCTGGGGAGTGTGTCAAACAGGAGTGGGCAAGCAGGGGTGTAGCACGTCTCTGGGGGTGCAGATGAGACAGGTTGTACAGGCAGGGTCACAGGTTCTCTTACTCGTAAGGTTTGCCATGTGTTGTTTGTGGCGTTTCTGTTGGCTGGTTGGTTTTGGGGTTTCTGTTAGTAATGGTTTTAACATGGGCAAAAACTGTGATTAGTACAAGGGTATGTAACCAAATTGAACCCTCCAAAGAGGATGGTCTATACAGACCCATTCCTGCCCGGAGTGTTTGAGCTTGTCAGTGGTTTCATGGGGTGTTGTGGAGGAAACCTGCCTGTGGTGTGAACAGTGAACCACCTCCTTTCACTGGTGGCCGAGCTTAGGGAGGAATTTGAAAGACTAAAGAGTATCTGGGAAAGTGAAAGGGAAATAGATTGGTGGAGTTCAGCCCTTCCATCTTTAGGGGAGGCCCACCAAATGTCAGAGGATTCATATGCTTCCCACTGGCAGGCAATAGAAGGGCACCTGGTAGATGAGTGAGAGTGGAAGTGGGTCCCCAGGGAGGTAATAAAAATTCCTCCAGACCCCCATCCAGGCACCACTTCAGAATAGGTATGAGGCCCTGGATCTAGAAAATCAGCCAGATGATTTAGAAAAAAATTATCTGCCCAGTGTGCCTCCCAATTATGATTCATATGTAAGACGAATCACCACCTCTAACAGCAAAAAGAAAAGAAGGGTGATCGTAGTGGGTGACTCCCTTCTGAGGGGAACAGAAGGCCCCATATGTCAACTGGACCCATCCCACAGGGAGGTCTGCTGCCTGCTTGGGGCCTGGGTCAGGGCCCCAGGGAGAGGGGGCTGTCCCTATCACCGAGGGACTTCCTAGGCTGATTCAGCCCTTTGATTATTACCCACTGCTGATACTCCAGGCTGGCAGTGATGAGATTGAAGGGAGGAGTGTCAAGGCAATTAAAAGGGACTTTAGGGCACTGGCTTAAGTGGTTGAAAGGGCAGGGGCACAGGTAGTGTTCTGCTCAGTCCGTTTGGTGACTGAGAAAAATGGTGCAAGGAATAGGAGAACTTACATCATTAACAAGTGGCTCAAGGGTTGGTGTCATCATCAAAAGTTTGGATTCTTTGATCATGGGGAAACTTTTATGGCATCTTTCCTGCTGGAACCAGATGGGATACATCTCTCTGTGAAGGGCAGAAGGTTTTTAGCTCATGAACTGGCAGACCTCGTTGAGAGGGCTTTAAACTAGGTTTGAAGGAGGAAGAGGATACAGCTGGGCTGTCTGGAAGCAGGCCCAAGGGTGGGAAGCCTGAGTTAGAGGTGAAATCGGTAGCCCAGCTGAGGTGTGTGTATACCAATGCATGCAGCGTGGGCAACAGACAAGAAGAGCTGGAGGCCTTGGTGCTACAGCAAAGCTGTGATGTAGTTGCTATCATGGAAATGTGGTGGGACAACTCACATGGATGGAGCACTGCACTGAATGGCTACAAGCTCTTCAGAAGAGACAGGAAGGGGAGAAGAGGTGGACAGGTGACCCTTTATATTAGGGAGGCTTTTGATGCCATGAGTATTGAAGCTAATGATGATGAAGTTGAATGCCCATGGGTAAGAATTAAGGGGAAGGCCAACAAGACTGACGTCTTGTTATTGTCTGTTATTGTCCACCCAACCAGGAAGAAGTGGTGGACAACTTATTCTATAAGAAGCTAGATAATGTTTCAGGATCATCAGTCCTTGTTCTTGTAGGTGACTTCAATCTGCCAGACATCTGCTGGGAACTTAATACAGCAGAAAAGAGGCAGTCCAGGAAATTTTTAGTGTATGGAGGTCAACTTTTTGTTGCAGCTGGTGGGTGAGCCCACCAGGAGAGGGACTATGTTGGATCTGTTTTTTGCAAACAGAGATGGGCTGGTGGGAGATGTGGTGGTTGGAGGCAGCTTGGGGCACAGTGATCATGAAATTATAGAGTTCTTGATATTTGGTGAAATTAGGAGGAGCACCAGTAAGACTTTTACACTGGACTTCCAGGCGGCAGACTTTGGCCTATTTAGGAGACTTATTCAGAGAGTTCCTTGGGAAGCAGCCCTTAAAAACAAAGGAGTTCAGGAAAGGTGGGCATGCTTCAAAACAGAGATCTTGAGGGCATAGGAGAACAGACTGTCCCTGTGTGATGAAAGACAAGTCAACAAGGTAAACACCTGGCCTGGATGAGCAAGGAGGTTTTGGAGGAACTTGGAATAAAAAGAGGAATCTTTGGAAGGAGGGTCAGGTCTCTCAGGAAGCATTTAAGGGCCTGCTAGAGCATGTATGAAAAAATTAGAGAGGCCAAAGCTCAGTTTGAACTTAAAATGGTGACTTCTGTAAAGGATAATAAAAATGTTTTTACAAATATATTAATGGTAAAGGGAAGGGTAAGAGCACCCTTTGTTCTTTATTAGATGCGGGAGGGAACTTAGTAACTGCAGATGAGGAGAAGGCCGAAGTGCTCGATGCCTTCTTTGCCTCAGTGGGAAAACAACTTGCCTTCAGGACAGGTGTCCTCCTGGGTTGGTAGATGGTGGCAGGGAGCAGAAGGGTCCCCCTGTTATGCAGGAGGAGGCAATCAGAGAACTGCTGAGATCCTTGGATATACATAAATCTATGGGACCAGATGGAATCCACCCCAGGGGGATGAGGGAGCTGGCAGATGAGCTTGTGAAGCTGCTCTCCATCATTTACCAACAGTCTTGGCTCACAAGCTGGCCAGTGTGACACCCATTCACAAAAAGGGTGGGAAGGAGGATCCCGGTAATTATAGCAAGTAATTCCAGACCTAGTAATTATAGGCCAATCAGCCTGACCTCAGTACCAGGTAAGGCAATGGAGCAGTTTATAGTGAGTGCCCTCAAACAGCACTTACAGGATGGCCAGGGTATCAGACACAGCCAGCACGGGTTTGGCAGGGGTAGGTTGTGTTTGACCAACCTGATCTCCTTTTATGACCAGGTGACCCGCCTGGTGGATGTGGGAAGGGCTGTGGATGTTGTCTATTTGGACTTTGACACTGTCTCCCACAGAACACTCCTGGAAAAGCTGTCAGCCCAGGCTTGGGCAGGAGCACTCTGTGCTGGGTTAGGNGGGCGGACGGGGGGCAGCCAAGCCCGAAACGAGGGGTCTCGGGGGTGGGAAGGGCTCGGGAGGTTAGCGCTTGGAGTAGGGCTCGGCGGCTTTCCGGGCTCTCCGCATCCGCCGGTGTGGTCTGTAGATGGAGCGCATTCTTACACCTGCGTGCAAAGCCGGAGCTACGGCATGATCCGAGCTCTTGCTTAGTGCAGCTCCCGTGTGACCCGGGGGAGGGCGGGGAGGAGACGGGGCTGGCAGGGAGCCGGTGCTTGGCGGTAAAGTGCGATGAAAGTAGGTGAAAGCAACCGGAACAGTGTTCTGGCTTGTTTCTTCATTTTCCCTCGTCATCTGCTCTCCTGCCCCGGTGTATGTAGGAGCGCAGATGTGCTGTTGAATTACAGGGAGGTTCAAAGCGTCTAGCTTTGCGTTTGAATGTTGTGAAAGTTGCTACGACCCGAGCTGTGAGTGGAGGGCATTGCTGAATTCACGTCAGTCAGCCAGTGCTCCCAAAACTGGCCTGGAAGGTGCAGAGCGTCCCTTGGTGAAGCCCGTGCAGGGGAGGAAGAAGCGGTCTGTGAGGTGGCGTCTGTGTGATGTGGTGGTTAGTGGTGTGTCAGGGAGCTGCTCCGAGTGACAATTCATTAGCGTTTAAATTAGATCAACACGTCACATCCATTATTTACCGGCAAAAGAGAGTAATGACAGTAAACGGTGAATTAGCAGCTTGGCTTCAATGTAAATATCTGTTGGAGTAAGAGCATACACTGATCTTGATAACATGTTGGTAGAAAGTCAGGTTCATTAATCATCAGGGAAGCAAGGAGAGCTGAGGCGATGCCGTATTGAAACCACTTTTACCTTTTACAGTGCAACATCCAAAAGCGGATCAATTTTGTGGGACATGGCACAAGGAAATAATTATGGGCAAAGCAGCAATGGGGTGGCTGATGAATCCCCAAACATGCTGGTGTACAGAAAGGTAAGCCTTTGTATTTTTCAGAAGCTGTGGGAGGTGAAGTCCTGGACTCTTTTGCCTAGCAAGTGAAGCCATTATTTTTGCTGTTTCTCTCCCAATTTCTTGAATGTATCTGTTGTTTGAAATGGTAAAATCTGCACATGTCAACTTTGCATCTTGTTCAGAAGCAGCTGCTTTTCAATTTGAGATATTTGATGTATTTCAGTCACTTTCTGCATTGATACATATAATCTGTGATGGTGGTGATGTGCCAGAGACTGGACCATGTTTTGAGGTCAAGTGTTCACTTTTAAAGTTTATTCATAAAATGAATTCATATGTATTAAAGCTAGACATCAGCTGTACAATAGAGTATTTCTGTATAGTGCAGAGAAGTTGGAACCATTAAATTATTTCATATGAGGGGAAAAACTTATTAAAGATCTCACTTATCTGCAATTGTCACAAAAAGTCAAAACCCCCCCTCAAAAAATACAGTCTAAAATTTTTCTCTGGGAAGACTTCTAGTGTAGTTATTCTAATAACATCAATACACAAAATTTTCAGGTATTGAACTTTAATAGTGAGGCTTATTTAGTGATTATGCTTTAATTTAAGTGAGAGTAAACGCTTGGAGATTTTGAGATGCCCTTATATGCTTTTTTAAAGAAGCCTGAATTGCATTTATGAAAAAATAATAACAACATAAATTCTAATAATAATGGAGAAAAAATAATTTTGCTGTTGCAAACGGAAATAAGTAATTATACAACTGCTTGTTTATTCTTAGAACACAGTGCTTCTTAACTTGTTTGTGGTTGCTCTTATCAGGTGGAGAAAAAAAATCAATACTTTACTTTGTTAGAGGCATTGACTTTTTGCCTTACAAGTTAACTGTAATAGAAAGCATCTGATATATGCTCAGTTTAGTCTTTGAGGTGGTCTGAAGTATAAACTGTAGCTGTGGTAAGTGTGCTTTTCCCAGAAATTTAAAATTAGTCTCAAATTGAAGTTTGATACATGCTTTTTTCTCTTCCTGTTTTCAGATATGTTGCTGATTTCACTTAGTTTGTTGTATTTGCTATTTTATGAAATTAGGTTTCTTTTACATAAGTGAATGAATTTAGGAACCTAACTGCAGTTATCCTTTTACAAATGTACATCTAGAAAAATACTAGATTACCTTGCCATTAACACCACAAGTGTGTTTCAAAAGGCGATTTCATACATGAAAATATGCTGCATATATGAAAAGCAGTATACCAAATCTTAGAGTGTTTATTGTAGGCTTTTGGACTTTCTAAACAGAATCTTTCCACATTTGCCATTTACTTCAATGCTGGCAAAAAGGTCTTTTCTCAGCTTATTTGGTACACAGAGGGACAATACAGAGAACCTGTTTCTCTCTTCCTTTGGTGTGTTCGGTAAAATTTGTGACAAAATTTGTGACATGGTATTTAGTATGACCTCATGCCAAAATTTATCATTGCCCCTGAGTAGCATCACCTCTGAGCCACATCCAGGTTGAATGGAGCAGCTGAGGGAAGTTAACGAGAGTCGTGGTGATGCGTGGGAGGTTTGAAAATGAGGAGAGGGAACAGGACACATCACTAAGGTGTATGCTCAGCAAATCAAGATGTCAAACACCTCTTTTGTTCTCTGCAATACATCTTTAAAGGGATAATATGAATTTGTGTCCTTCAATGCAGCAGTGGTCCTTCCCTTGCTGTCAGTAAACAAGTGGTGCTCTGAGTATTAAACTTTGAAAAATACTGACCTTCTACAGCATTACCTGCCCTATTTTTTTTTCTTCTACTTATTTTTGTAGCATAGTGAATTAAAGATAATTTCAGATTATGCACACTGTGTTAGAGTACAGAGAGAAAACTAAGTAGCCCTTCCTTTGGCAGTACTCAAGGAACAGGCAACAAAATAATATATAACTTTTCAAGAAGTCACCTGCCTTTTCTTGAAATAGGATATTGGGGTAAACAAACATGTTCTAAATTCTGGGTCTGGAATATAAGAGGAAGATAGTCAAGTGGAAATCATTTCACTTTAGAGTATATCATCTCTGAGTATAATTCTTTAATAGGAGCAACTGAATCACAGGATTCCTTGTAATACATTTGAAAACACAATACTTCTCTCTCTGTCTGTCATTGTGTTGGGAATGAAAGCACTGTATGAACAAAGAACTAGGTCTGACAGCTTCGTGAAGGACTCTTTTGGCCAACTGGAAAAGTATTAACAGTTTTTTGGGGAAAAAAAATGCTACTGGCTGGGTTCAGTTGAACTGAATTTGAAGTTTTGCCTTTTGAATAATGTTGCTGAGATGGACAAAGGTGGAAATGCTTTCTTACAGTAGTTTATAATCAGCAGATGGAAAAGCACACATCACCTGCAAAGAATAGCTGGGACATCTCTTACTTATATTGATGAAGAATAAAAATTTGGCTGTGCTGTGAAGGCTGTTATTTTGGCTATAAACCATAGTTTTGTAATCTGGTAATTCTGCTAGTTTGTCAAACTTCCAGACACAATCTGAACTAAGTATGTTCTGAGCTACATGTTCAGAGTTACAGCCTTGTATTGTCTAAATCCTGATTCTGTCAGGAGCATTTTATAAAAAGTTCTATACAGAATGAAGTCCTAGTGTTTTCAAATTTGGTTTTTAAGGCTTAATTGTGACAAACGCTTGGCAGAAAAGGGCTGGCTTTTTTTTTTTTGTTTGTTTTTTTTTTAATATTTTTTTTTTGATTAGTTGCTTATTTGAAAAATTGAAACATTTTGAAATTGAAAATTTGAACAATTGATAATCAAATTGTAATCTCGAGTAATACAGAGTGTAGATACTCTCTTATTCTCATGGCAGCTTTTATTCCTAGCTAAAAAGGGTCTCATTACATTTTGCTTTCAAAAAAGAATTAAAAAAAAAATCAGCATAGGATAATTCAATATTCAATATACACATAACTAAGAATTACTTACTTGAATCTGGAAAAGACAGCAGCACAGAGCTCCCTGTATAATTTTTACTCTGCCTTTTAAGATGCTTGTGTCAGTGTTTTTATGCCTTGGGGAATAATTTTTATTTTAATAGAATGTCAGCTGCATTATTCTTTTTGTCTATCAGCCTAATTATAAAGTAGTGACATGTGACACATCATTGGCACTGACATACCTTAGAAAAAGTCCTGAATTTTTCTGCTGGTAGCCTGAGGCAAATATGAAAAATGTAAAACCCCTCCTTTCATTTCTTCTCTAACAGAGTCCATTCCAGTCAGCAATTAAAAGAGGTAAGAGACTGAAATCCATAGCATTTTAACATCACAAATTGCTCATGCAGAAATCTCATATTTTGGCAACACTAACTTGCTGCTGCAAGCTTGGTCTTAGGGAAGAAACTTGAGATGTAGTAGTGTAGTAGAAGGCCCATACTTTGACGTTTTTCTAAGTTTCAGAGACTAACCCGCCTTTTAAATTTTAAATTTCTGTACACAATTAAAAGAATAAGAGTTTCCTGTTAGAAACTTCTATTCCAGACCTACTGCTGGTCTTGCTAAACCTTACTTCATCTTTCTGGTCTGTGCTTTGCTTACTTTTTCAGTCAAACATATGCTGCAACTATTAGGAGTTCTGATTTACAAGTTTAATTGTTATTGTACTGTTGCCTGAACTAGCTTCATTTGAGAGCTGATAACTTTATTTTGTAGCAATAAGGTTATCCTTGTCTGAAAGGTAATATTCTTGTGGGTGAGATTTTGGCTCTCTGCCTTCCTCACTGCCCAGGTATTAAAATAGCTTTTGCCAAGTCTGATTAAAATCACTGACAGTGGGGCTTTCAGGGTTCTAATAAAGATAATGATGTGTTTGTTCTGTTTCTGTGACAATGGTGGAAGGTCACATATGTCAGTACTCATGTATAACAAGAGCTGAATTTGTAATCTCAAACTCCTTTGTTTATCATGATCTGATATTCTTCATAGAAATCATGCCTCCAAAGCATGATACTTTCCAATGTTGTTGTGAATGAGCAGTAGCCATGCTGGGACAACATCTGAAGAAACACTGACACCATCTTCTAATAACCATTCTCCATCTCTGCTACCACCAGAGATGACTTCCAGTGTAGATTGAGATAATGCTGTGTTCTCATGTGGCCTTTATCAACTGCTCCCTGAAAGGATTGTTGGAAGAAAATGTTATCGTGGATAACTGTGTTCCTTAGAGCCTGTGAGACTAAGGAAGGACATTTTAGGTAGGTCTTTCTAAGTGCTGTCACTCACTTTGAGAAGGGAAGAATCACTCTGATACTACATGTTTCTGAATATGCCATGACATTCTATGAAGGCATCTTGTTTGTCACTACATTGGAAAAGTCAGGGTGCTCTAAGGTACTAGACATAAGTAGTGTGGAGTTGTTTTTTTGTTTGTTTGTTTGTTTGGGCTTTTTTGGTGTGTTTTTTCCTAGTGTGTTTATAAATATATTTTTTAAAATTATTTATTAAATTATATTATACCTCTAGATTATGCTGTTTCTTCTTCTGAAAAGAAGAGTGGCACTGGTGTGAATCTGGCTGATGGTCTTGGTGTTATTTCAACACTCATAATTATACAATTGATAGGGAAGGGTCTACATTTGTGAACCTTGGGAATTCCTGCTGTAGGAAGAAAAGAATTTACCTTCCTGTCTAATTATTATAAGCAAGTTGTAGTCCTGGAGTAGCTGGTTGATAGTGAAGTAAGCTTTTCCACAGGGAAATTTAGGGAGCAGGAACTTAATAGAGATGGACAGAATAGTTGCTAGATGCTGTGTAGTGCCTTTTGTTTTCCTGTATGCTCTCACCCTCATGTTTTGTATCTATTTTCTGTGCAGATTCACTTTGCTGTATCCTCTCCTGGAATGGTAATGGTTAGAACTAGGTGTAGAATGTATCTAAATTTTGTCATCATTTGTGATAAATGCAGTATAAAGGATTTTATTGTCTTCACAACTACATAGAATGATTGAAAATTCCAAG